TGCATGTATTTATATAATTTTTACTACTAAGCATACATATCTATGTATGTATTATCCTAATACATATGCATACAGATAATTTAGAGTGTCTGAGTGACGTTAACATAGCCAGTAAGAAACTGTTCCTGATACAAGGAGACAGACCTCAACTGCTAAACTGGGAGAGGTATGGGCTAAGAATTGGAGTATCTGGAGGAAGCCTATCATCCACAGAGACAGCTGAGGTAGCCGTAGTCACTCTTGTAGGAGGACAGTTTGTGTTTCCTAAGAACACAGTACTCGTTAGTGCTATGTATGCAGTCTCCATTTCCAGACCTCTCCTCAAAGCACTGAGGCTTGAGATGCAACACTGTGTTGATCTTTTGAGAGGAGCTAAAACAAAATATATAAAATTTGCCATAGCTCCCGTGAGCACAGCCAGTCTTTCTTATGAGTTTTCCATTGTTGATGGAGGTGAATTCAGTGAGGGGAAATGGTATGGATCCATTAATAGGGAGTAGTTTTGTCTTGTTAGTATCGTTGGGTCCTTGACTAATGAAGGAGAGGAAGAAGAGGAACAAGAAGGAGAGGGAAATAGAGGAGACCATAATGGATGGAATGAAAATGGAGGAGATCATGAAGAGGAGGAAGGAGGAGAAGGACAGGAACAAGGAGCAGGAACTATGGAGGAGAAAGAAAAGGAAGGAAAGGAAGATGAGAAAAATGGTGATGGAGTACAAGAGAGAGAAGGAGGTGAGACTGAGGAAGGAAAACAAGAGACCAAAGGACAGCATACACTGCAAGGAGAGGAAAGAGATAATGATAAAGAAAGTTAGTGAGAGTCATTTTATTAATGTTATAGTTATCAGTAATTATTATTTTTCTTAATCTTAGAACCCTCTACTGGTGTGTCAAAAGCAATAACGTATTCTGGAATAACTTATTATGAACAAGATGGAGTAGAGGATCTATTAACGTTTACTGCAGCAAAAAAATTAAATGCACTCCTTGAGGTACACTAGTATAATTACTGCTTTATTATTATTTTATTATCTCAATTTTAGTTTGCTCAAAATTATCACAAGGAGTCTAAAATGGGACAGAACATAACCTTTCGTATAAAAGATGATCAAGAATATATTGAGCTGGTTCTTGATCATATTCCACAAGATGACCCATTTACTGGTTGGAAAATCAAACCACACGTTAAACCTTCCAGAGTAAGATTATTATACTACGTTTACACTACGGAACTGGGCCAAACCATGCTGAGCCAGACTGAGCTGGCCCTGCTGTACTTACCATGCTGGCCTGGTTTGCCCAGCTCACTTTAGCTCAGTTTGGTTACTGTTTACACTATCAAATGAAACTGTGCTGGCCCACTTTAAATAGGGCTGACTCAGTTAAAGAAGCTAGTGTAAACATAGTATTAGTTATAACCTGTGATAATGGTGCTTTGACATTTATGCATTCATGTACATGTACACGTAACTACAATATTCTGTTATTATTATTATTACTATGTATTCATTGTTGTTGTACATAATGTTATGTATTGATTATTATGCATGTATGTATTATTGTTAATATTATTATCATTGTTATTATTGTTCTTATTGTTACTTATTGTGGCCATTATTATTTCTATTTATAGGCAGACTGTCAATATGACATCATATGATGTATTATGATTTTTAGTATATAAGTGCATGCTTTTACTGTTTTTGTTGTTCATTCATTCGTTCGTTCATTCATTCCTTCTTCCTTCTACTTCATTATTTCCATTCTCATTTAAAGTCCTCTTTGAACCTAGCGAGTTTGCCATTCTCACATTACTAAGATACGCGTGCTGTTTTTCATTCACTCATTTGTGTTCTACTTCCATTACTGATTGCATCTTTTATTATTGTATTATTACAGTTATATAAAGAAGATATTGTTAATTTTGGTGGAGTAGAGTATCCCTTGCCTCCCACTTGCTTGATCTCAGTTTATGGATCACCTGCCCCTGGTACT